AATTTCGTGTCACAGGTCATTTTTGTCTCGTATCGTGTCAACTCATAAAGTGATCATGTCGTGTTCGTATTGCGGTTTTTAAAAAATTTCGTGTTACATAATGTGTTCAAGTTGACTGTAAATTTTTTAAAAAAAAACCAAAATACGACACGTGACGAATCAACGCCTTATTGAAAACAACAATACGAGGAAGTGACAAATAATTTTGTAAACGACAAGAAGATTGGAAGATGTTATAAATAATTTTGTAAACGACAACAAGATTGGAAGATGTTATTAGGATGATAAACAACATCATACGGCAGATAAAAAAAAAAAAAAAAAAAAAAAACAAAAAAAACCATAAAAGTTGTAACAGTCGTAGTAGGAAAAATAATATGTTATGCAACAACAACGTAAAAAACGACGATAAACATGAAACGACCTCATACTGCAAAACGGCAGCAACATGGAAACAAAGCGCTTCTTTGTGTGCACCTAAATTTTAAAAAAATTTAAACTCAAATTATAATTTTATTTAAATTTATATTGTTTCATAAAATTTGAGTTTGAATTTGAATTTTAACTTGAATTTTAACTTGAGTTTGAGGTTAAAATCTGAATTTAAGTTTTTCCTTTAATTCAAGTTCTTAAACTCAAGCATTAATGAACAATAATTTTTTTTATTTTTAAAAATGCTATAACATTTTATGTTTTAATTCTGATTGAGATGATTTTTTTAATGCGTTTATAATGAAGAGATGAATAAAACCCTATCCATATACCCTATTAAAATTTTTCATCATTATTGAGTTTTTATTAAAATACTATTTAAATACAAACTCAAATTTTGACCCACTTAAATATAAACTTAAAAAGATTATCATTTCAAATTATAACTTAAATGTACACAACTAAATACAAACTCAAGTTATAACTCAAATTTAATTTAAAATCTACATTTAAATCACCATAACTAAAAAATATAACTGAAGTAACTACAATTATAAAAAGTATACGAAACCGCATCGCGAAGAACACGACAATAACTTTGAAACTACAATAAATTTTTAGAGCAAAAAAAAAAAAAAAACGATAATAAATTTGAAAACAGCGCGACCTCGGAAATGATAATAAATTGGGACAACGAAAAACAAACAAAACAAGAAAACAAGATTAATGAACGACCACAACTTGGAATTACCAGTAGACAAGTATTACAGGTAAATAAAAGAAATAAAAAGGTGTAACCAGTAAATTAAGAACTCTGTCTGACTATGGATAATGGAAACATATGAAGCTGGTAAAACCAAAAACTAGACTCATTTTTTTACTTTCCTCTCAAAAGGTAAGAAAGAAAGTCTTTGGATCCCTTGTCCAGAGGCTTCATTTTGGCCCCAAAAGAGGGATTTTGACGCGTTTAGTTCGTTGATTTGAGTTTTTAATTCGAGTTGAGATGTGACTTTATGTGAGAGCTTTTTATTGTAGTAAAAAAGTTAGATATGATTGTTTCTGAAAGCTTTTTATTGTAATAAAACTCGAATTTGAAACTCAAATCGGTGAAATGAACGAGCTTTTCTAAGTTTGTTTTATTTTGATTTTAAAATATGCGTTTATTTCCAACAAGCTCTCGTCATCTACTCCAACAAAATTAGTCAATTTCTATGCTATTGTCTCGTGTGTTCACTTGGCGTAGTTGGAGACGTATGAATGGAGTTGATACAACTCGAAGTGGGTAAGATTTTGAGCAATGAATCGGTGTGAAAATAAGTTGAATATTAGGTTATAAGATTCGGAATTAGGGTCACTTTGAATCCCATTAATCTGTAATCAGAATGAATTATAGTAAAATTACTTATATACCCTTTGCGTTTTCAATTTAAAAAGATAAATTATACACCTATTATAACAATGTTAAGCATGATTAAAATAATTATTATAAATATGAGTTAGTTAGATTTCCAATTTTGGTATAACTTATAATAAATTTCTGAGTAATGCAACTCGCTGTTAATTTATTGATGAGAAAAGTAAATAGGTCGCGGAAAACCGCGGTAACCTTGGGAAAAAGAGATAATAATTTTGAAGAATGACAATAACTTGACAACTTGGCAAACGACGCAACAATAAATATGACAACAATTACAAAATCACATCAAAGAGAAAATGGCTATATGGCCTCGTTCACTTTGCGGATTCGAGTTGAGATGTGACATTTTTTAAAAATTTTTTACTGTAACAGAAAAAATTAGATGTGACATTTTCTGAGAGTTTTTTATTGTAGAAACTTAAAACTAAAAATTTGAATTGATAAAATGAATGAGGCCAAATAACACTGGAAACGACAATAAATTTGGAACAGTTCATGACGACCAAGTCTGAGACTGAACCACCGATTCTTAATTGGTATGTTGAGTTAATGAATGGGCTTATACGGAAATTCAAAAAAAATATATCAAATAAATGTTTGTTCATGAATAAAATACTTTGTCCGAAGTCCACGAAAAAACCACTTCAAGCTGCCATGGAAGGATTACAAGAGCTTTCATTCAAGGAACACTGACAAGTATAAATGAGAACTTGTATTATTGTTTCTTAATTAAGTATATATATAAAACCACACCCATATATATATATATATATATGCCTGAAAGAATAGATACTTTGCGAGCTTATTTAAGCTTGGCCGATTAAATATCACAGATGCTAAAGATTTCTGTTTATAACAACTTTTTCAGCTCAAGTTAGGAATATACTTATATCTTTGAGAAAGGAAAAGTGAGGAATATTGCAGTGAGAATAAAGAGATTCATATTGTGCCAAAAAAGGAAAGACATAATAATTCCATTAGGTGACAAAAAAGGAAAAACATAATAATTCCATTAGGGCGTAATGAGCACATGTAGCTCTTCTAATTGGTCCTTATGGACTAAGTAATGGCCTTTTGACGAAACCAAATTGTCTTTATAAAACGAAAGGGAAAAGCCATCTTCTACCACCAGGGAAATACACTTCTTAAAAAGTTTTTAAAAAAGAAGAGGATCATGGTGTAAAGAAATAATTATGAAACAAAATCTAAAAGACTAAAGAAAATTAATGTAGTGATAAGTTTTGCAACAGTAAAAAGTTCTCAGAAACAGTCACATCTAACTTTTTTGCTACAGTAAAAAACTCTCACATAAAATCACATTTCAATTCGAATTAAAAACTCGAATCAGCGAACTAAACGGGCCCTAAGTAATGGTTATTTGACGAAACCAAATTGTCTTTGGTAAAACCATCTTCTGCCACCTGCAGGGTAATGTACACTACACACTTCTCTAAAGGGGCTGCAACGTGATTCATGGAAAAATTAAAGGTCTTCAAGCATATATGTGTTATCGTTATAACATGAAAAAGTGAAAATTGCAAATTAAGCAGTACTTTCATTAACCAAAGCTTGATATATAATTTCTCGTAAATCCTCTAAATAGAAATAGAATCCATCCCTTTTGATGGAGCAAGCAAGACCCTCAGATAAGAACTTTTCGTAAGGAGGAGGGCACATAAGAGATAAAAAGTAAATCTAAAGACTTGGTAATTCTAGTATAAAAAGAGACCTGTAGAGCCAATAGAGAACTATAGAAACAACATAGCCGAGTTCAAAATGCAAATTCATTCCACTTTTATATAATTGCTAGTTTAGTTGTGCAGCACTCGAATCGCGTTCAACATTTAAAGAATTACCAGGTATTGCAATGGCCGTATCTTTGCTTCTCTTTTATATTTATTTATTATTCCATCATCCATGAGTAAGAGAATTTGATAGAATGGTATTTTTTTTTCGGGTTTTGATGAAGTATCTAATTGCTAGTTTAGATCGAAAGTATTACTCTCCTCTTGAGCTCTTCTAACACCAGTCCTACTGATATCTCCAACGCTCCCCCAACAACCCGATTACTTGCATGCACTGGATCCCAATACGATATTATTATAAACTTTATCCTTTTAGGGTACGGGATTAGGGGCCCCACCCGAATCCTTTACATTCATTTTTCTTTTTATTTTGTTTAATAATTGAATTAGAAATGTCTTGAGTTCAGTGGCCGTACCAGTTCGACAACTCTTTAATAGATGACGCATTATTTCCTTCTTCTTCTTCTTCTTTTTTTTTTTTTTTTTCTTTCTATTTTCGACAAACGATCCCAAACTTTCAAAACATTGGTAATAATAAAAAATTAAAAATATCACTCAACATAGTTAAAAATATTATTTGTACTACTTCACTCAATAATAAATAATTATTATATATAATGCCCACAATAATACTTAATTATTTAGAATGATATAAATGATAAACCTATGCAAAACCATAATAAACCATATACTTTTCTCAAAACCTTTTCTCATCCATTTATATATATATATATATATATATATTCCACTAACAAGGGCCACATATATTTTTTTTTCTAAGAGAAAATTATATTATTTTATTTTTAAGAGTGTATGAATGTGGATTTTTACCTCTCATTCTTAATTAATACCATTTTACTAGTATAGTTATTTAACTAAAAAAATTATTAATCAAGAATAAGAGATAAAAATTCAGATCCATACATTTTAAGATTATCTGTCTCATTTTTCCTTTTTTTTATTTAAAAAAAAAACAGTGCATCTAACACTTAGTAGTTCTAGTTATAAAGGAAGCTTAAGAGCCAAAATTCTCACCAAATCCATAAAGATTAGTCAAATTCATAAAGAGCGCAATTTATCTCTAATTATTTTTTCTTTTAAAAAAGGAAAAAAGGGACAAAAAATATCCTTTAAGAATGCATTATCAAGATATTTATTTTTTACTCTTGGATTAAAAACTTTTTAGTCAAATAAATATACTAGTAAAAGAGTATTAATTAAAAATAATAGATAAAAATCTAGACTCATACGTTCTTAGAAGTAAATTATGTAATTTTCTTCTATTAAGGGAAAAAAAAATCTCATGGTGAAGTGTTTAATTGCTTGTTTAGGTAGACAGAGTTTTACTCTCGCCATGAGCTCTACTTCACATGGCCGCACGGATCCATCGGCATCTGGAGCACTGCAGTGTATTTATTTCTCTTTTATGTTTGTTTTCTCTTTTTTTTTTAATTCAAATATCTAATTGTGTACGAGTTTTGATTGAGAAATGACGTCACTCTCCTCATGAGCTCTTCTGATCACATAGGTCTCCAATATTTGTGTTTCACATCCGAAGAGTCACTAAACATTTTAAAGCGTACGTATTTTGCTTCTCTTTTATGTTTATATTATCTGAATAACGATATTACAATTGTTTTCATAGTTTTAGAGATAATTTTTTATCAAAAATTTAGAAAAAAATAACATTATAATTCAAATTTCAATATTTATTAAAAGTATGATCAATTTCATGAGAGTACATGCCCCCAAATTTTAAAGATTATGTTGCTCTCTAAATTAGGGAGTTTCTCTGATAGTCCCAGTAAAAATGGACTATTGATAGTCCCTTACTTTTCAACCGTCAGATTTATATTAAAATTTATCTGTTATGCATATTTTTCTAATCTGATGTAATTTTGACCAGATCTAACGGTTAAAAATTAAGACTATTAGTAGGCCGGTCTACTGGAGAAAGTCCCCCTAAATTATATGCATTATAGTTTAAAATACTTCATAAATTTATAAAACTAATAAAATGATAATGTGACACTATATATAATTTTTTAAATACCACCAATTAATTTATTAATCTTAAACGAGCTTGCCTTATGATATTATTACTTTTATATAAACTTGCTCTCCGATTTTTTAAAAGATTACTAGGCAAGGTGACATAAAATTAATAGTTTAAAGGTATTTATAAAAAAATAAAATTAATTTAAAAGGTGTTTTGACTAACTTTTCATATTTCAAAAAACGAAATTAACCACTTTTAAAATTTAAAGTGCATGTTAAAAACAAAGTATAAATTTCAGAGGGTTTTTGTAAAGCTATTACTCTTTATCACACAATTAAAATACATGCTTATTCAAAAAAAAAAAAAAAAGTAAATACATGCTCATTGACGCATCAGCACTGTTTGGTAGTAATGATTGGGTTAAAAAAAGAAAAAAGGCTCTCTACCGTCCTTAGGACTTGGGAAGAAACAATACATTTATTTAGTTATTGATGGCATTAAAAAAGATGTGACAATCCCATAGAAAAGGAATACGATAACCAGTCTAAGATAATTGAATACTGTATGTTTATAGCTTTTTAAGTAATTATTATTCGTACATAAAATAAATAATTTGTTTCATATTTTTACACAAGTGAATGTTGTTGTTATATTGTGACTTTTAACTTTTAAGATTAAGATGTCAACAAATTAAAAATATTATGTCTATTTGAGCATCTCTAACCATTTCATATTTTTAGTTAAAATAGTAATGATTTAACTTTTTTTCCTCCACTCCAACCAATAGTCAAATGGTTAGAATATCTCCAACCATGCTAGTCATTTCATAATTTTAGTCAAAATAGCTATTGATTTTCTTTTTCTTTTTTTTTTTTTTTTTTTTTTTTTTTTTTTTTTTTTCAACTTCAACTCTAACCATCAGCTAAATAATTAGCTATTTTAGAGAATCATATCATACTAGTCAAATATAGCTACCAAGAAAAGGCTAGTCATTTCATTTTTTTATTATTTTATACTTTCAAACAATAATAAATGTAAAAATTCATTTTTAAATTCAATAAGTTGTTTAAATTTTAAATTTAATGAATACTAAAACATTTAAAGTAAATAGGGAGTATGGTTGAAGTAGCTAACCTAAAATTTGCTAATTATAATAGTTTTCAAGTTTTTTTAACTAAAATTTAGCTAAAATTTAGTGAGTTTTCATTTCAAATCCCTCCACTTTTTACTCAATAATAAACCAGTGTCTTCTAATCATACTGAAAAATCTATTAATTTCTAACTCTCAGAGAATCAACAAACTCTGCAAGACAAGATCAAGGCTGAGAAAAGCAACAAATTTGTCAACACAATCGCTGCCATCTTCAAGGAAAAAGACATAGATAGTCCTATTCGCATCTTCAAAGTCCCCAGCTCTCTAACTTCCGCCAAACCAGAAGTTTATGTTCCTCAGCAAATAGGCTTAGGACCCATCCATCACTTAAGGCGTGAGCTACAACAAATGCAGATGTACAAGGTTGTGGAGGCAAGAAAGATTCACAACGGATTCAAAAGTGGCCTCGAGTTCAGCGAAGTCGCTGAGTTTCTTAAGCAGATAGCATCCCCATCCGTCCGCGCCTCTTATAACATTTACCTGGAAATGGATGATGATGTTTTGGCATCTGTAATGGCCGTCGATGGTTTGTTTCTGTTTAATTTGCTCTGCTGTTATGGAATCAGCAAGGAAACTTTGGCCAATTCAAGCTCTTTGAGCCCCTTGGTTTACTCTGCCGGGAAAAGATTGGCTCAGGAAAAGATCATTCAAGAAGCCATGATGCTTGAGAACCAAATTCCAATCTTTGTTATGAAAGTCATCTTGATCACAGAATGCTGGAATCTCGAACAACAGACCATCGAGATTGTTGGGGTTCTTTTCCCAAGAATCTTGTTGGATTTTTGTGAATTTGTCTCACCATTGAAAACTGTGAAGAATTATCCTCTGTACAAGGTCTTAAAGCATGCCCATTTGTTGGATCTTCTCTACCATTTGGCCATTCTCAAGCAGTCACCTAAACCAAATCCCGAGGAAGAAGAGAAGGAGTCAAGTTCATTACAAGAGCTACGTCAGAAAGTAAGTTCTGAAATCAGACATTTAAAAGCACGGGACGTGACGAAATCTTTGGAAGCAGTGGTTCGCAGGGCTATTGAAATAGGCAAGACGCTAGCACCGCCGGGCTTCCAAAAACCGATTGAGCTTGTACAAGGTTTACTTGAACTACCACTTTCACAGACCAATTTAGATATATCCTCTGCATTAAAAGAAGAGCCTCCAAAGGAAATCTTCATTCCCAGAGCGTCAGAAATCGATAAAGCTGGAGTTAAATTTGATGTTGTTGATCACATCACCGACATCAATTTCGACCGAAACACACTCTCCTTTTACCTTCCAGTCATCAGAATAAACGCCAACTTTGAGGTTGTAATTAGAAACTTGGTTGTGTATGAGGCCATGATCAAGCATGAGACAGAACCGCCGATTCTAAATTGGTATGTCGAATTGATGAACGGGCTTATACAGACTGCGGAGGATGTTGCCGTGCTTAGGAAGAAAATTATCGCAAAATCGGAGCTCACTGATGACGAACAAGTCGCGAAGATTTTCAGTGGGATGAACAAGTCGGTAGAGTTGACAAACATACCGCAGAATTTAAACGATGCCGTTCGAAGCGTCAAGGAATACTACAATAATCTGTGTTGGGTTTCGACGTCTGAATTCATGAACAAGTCTTGGCGGACTACAAAGAAGTGGTTCCTTGTTCTTGCCCCTCTCTTGGCATTATTTCTGTTGGCTGTCCAATCCTTCTGCTCGGTCTATGGTTGTCGTCGTTCTTCCTTCAAGGACAGCCATACTTCTCATGCTCAGCAGGTCGGTTCGCCACTGCCTTCCTTGAGGTCTCATCTCATTTAGCTTTATATTATATGTCAAGTGTGTTTTTGTTTGTTTGTTTGGTTTTTTTTTTTTTTTTTTTTTTTTTTTTTTTTTTTTTCGAGTGTGTATCCGATATGTTGCCCCTTGTTGCGAAGTAAACTTTTATGGATGTTGGATTTTAATTAAGAATAATTGCTCGAATAAAGACGATATGTATTTTGCTTATTTGGAAGCCCTTAGTCATGACTTATTGGCCACTCTATTGTGTGTGTGTGTGTTATGTTGCTGGGAAAGGCAATCACCATTCCAATACTAATCATGAGTAATTTTTTAATGCAGAACAATTTTATTATTTTCGGATATTATTTAGATACACCATTTTCTGTGGTTATTTTTAAAAGATAGGAAGTGCATTAAGTTATGGAAGACTTTAGTACGTGCAGATCATGGACATTATATTCCTTCCATTTCGTAAGGAATTCGGAAAGGAAACTAATAACAACATTTAAGAAACAGCTATAATGCGAAAATTCCATGAAAAATGAACGAAATGACATCATCGTCAAAATGACAAGAATAACCCAAAACAGACAAGAATAACTATATAAAACGACAAATTACGGGAAAACATAACATTTGAAAAAGACAGCAGTTTGATAGCTGAAAAAAAAAAAAAAAAAAAACAACATTATAAAAGGCCAAAATTACGGGAAAAATGAATGTATAGAGTTACAATCGAAATCGACACTATGATAAAAGGCCAATAATTAAAAACAACAAAGGTAACATGAAAAAAGTTTGGAAGATGCAAAGTAGCTCAGATAGAAGGTACGATATGATATGACAGGAATTTTAAGACAACAAAATACGTGTTACTACAGGCCAACGAAACATGAAAATCTAAGCCACCAACCGCATAACTGAAAAAACATAGTAATAGAAAAATGATAAAATAGCATTATAGACAAACCGACAATAGCTAAAAGAGGATCAGAAAACGACAGAGCCGTTGAAAATCACTCTAATCTTGGAAAAATACAAAACTATAAGTATTAATTATAAAAATTCCTCCTGTATTATGACTCTTATAACATTTTATCATCGATTTTGATTTTTAAAACGTAACTTCTCTCGAAACATGAAACCTTAACAAAAAAAATCTTCTTCCATTAGGGTTTTCAACATAATGACACTTGTCACACATATATAAATTGTTCTTAAAGAGTTTGGTGCAAGATTACTCTTCTCCATAACTTTTAAATAATTTATGTTTTTTAAAAACATATTTTGATTTTTATTTAGTATGATAATAAATAAAACAAAACAATAAAACATAATTTTTAATCTTATACCGCAAAAGGCCGAGCTTATTAAAGAAGAAACCACAATTAAAACGAGATTTTTAGGGTTGGTAATATAATTGGAATATCTTCCACCAACATGGGAATATATTATATATTTCTTTGAAGGAGATGTACCGTGACTCGTGGCAAAATTAAACTTCTTTAATCATACCTACTGTCTTTACAATAAATTAATTAACTAACGAGCAAGCACTACTTTCATTTAATTAAAAGCTAGATATTTTCTTGTAAGCCTCTATAAATATAATCCAAACCTTTGATGGAGTAAGCAACACTCAAACAAGAGGGCAATTTATCTTCATTATCTGAACGAGAGATGTTGAGAGGACAAATTTCATACCTCATTTCTCATCACACATATATATATATATATATATGTGTGTGTGTGTGTGTGTGTGTGTCAACACATGTCTTGAAAAATGAGAATTTCACTCTATGTTGGTGAATTTTTATCTGTTCTTTTCTTTTCTTTTTCTGATGATGTTTCTTACTGCTAATTTAGATCAAGAGAATTGTGACGTCCCCGTGGGCTCTTCTCATGACACGGATCCCGATTATGGTACTCCAAATGTCAACTTAAATTCAGCACCTCATGTGCCAACAAACGTTGTAAGAAATTTATGGTATTAATTTGTTTCTCTTTTTTATTTGTATTCTTTTTCTTTTTTTTCAATTATCTAAGAACGACTTTTCATTGAGTAGAAAATGTTATACTCTCCTCATGAGTTCTTCCGATCACACTGATAGTTCTCGAGAGCTCCAATATTTGTGTTCAGCAATCGGAGAATTACTACGTATTGTGAAGGATACGCATTTTGCTTTACTACTTCTATGTTTATTTTATCTGAATAAGAGAACTTTGTATCGGTTTTTTTTTTTTTTTTTTTTTTTCCCTCTGATAAAGTATCTAATTTCTAGTTTGCTCTACTGACATGAATCCTAATACTATTTCCCCAACTCCAAAGTTTTCTACAATATTTAACATAAAAAAAATTACCCGATATTATAATGGATATTTTGCTAATTGTCTTTTAATAAGTTATTATTATATATAGAAATAAGAGAATTTTTTTTGTATATTATTGTAAATTTATCCCACGTCCATTTTTGTGCACCATATATGAAGTGACGGATCCAAATAATTTTTGTGGGGGAGACTTAAGTAAACGCAAATTTTAAATTAAGTAACAGTGAGACAGATAAAACCGGATTATAATATTTCTTGGAAGTTAGTTAAAATTTACCCAGGGTATTACAATTTATTTCATAGTTTCAAAGAGTTTTTTATTAAAACTTTTTAAAAAAAATCTATAATTCAACTATCAATAGTTATTAAAAATATTATCCTTCATGACACAACCAAAGTACATGCTTATTCAGCCAACCAAAAAAAAAAAAAAAAAAAAAAAAAAAAAAAAAAAAAAAAAACTGAAGTACATGCATATTAAAATTGACGCACCAGGTTGTAATGCTTTGGAGGAAGGAAGGAAAAAAAAAGTAGAGGCTCGTCTCTACAACCTTAGGTGGACACGCGGTACATTTATTTACGTAAAAATGACTTTAAAATGTACAAAAACCAAATTAATTAAGATAATTGAATTCTTAAAATTATTTTTATAACATAAAATTTTTAACTATTTGCATCTTAATTTTTACAAGTACGTAACATGCGTATGAATGTTGTTACATTTTAACTTTTAGAATGCCAACAAATTAAAAATAATTTACTCCACCATATCAAGTTTTGGTGTCATTTTAACTTTTAGAATTTAGTCCACTCAGTTTTCCTTTCTTCTTTTTCCATGCATGCCATTCTGATCTATCTATCTGATTATAAATCCCTCCACTTTTTACTCCATAATAGACCAGAGTCTTCTAATCACTAAAATCTAATATTAATGCTCAACTCTCAGAGACTCAACAAACTCATGAGCAAAACGACAAGGGCGAGAAAAGCAACAATCTTGCCAACACAATCACTGCCATCTTCAAGGAAGAAGACATAGATACTCCTATTCGCACTTCTAATTGGTCCTTACGGACTAATTATTGGCCTTTTGACGAAACCAAATTGTCTTTATAAAACGAAAGGGAAAAGCCATGATCAAGCATGAGACAGAACTTGTTACATAACAAACTTCCTCCAGACTACTCCAACCGTTTGTCTTATTGTAGCATAACGGAAATAACAAAAAAAATAATAAAAATAACAAATTCCCTAATATGCTAAGACTCCCCCTCAAGATGGAGAATACATATTGTGGATTCCCATCTTGCCTAATAGAAGCCGAAAACAGGTTGGATGAAGTGCCTTAGTAAGAAGATCAACAAGTTAATTTTGAGTGGAAACGTGCATAGTCTTTAAAACTCCAGCTTGAATTCTTTCTCGCACAAAATGACAATCGAGCTCAATATGCTTGGTGCGCTCGTGATAACCCAGATTTGCAACAATATGGAGAGCAACTTGATTATCACAATAGAGAAGAGTTGGACCTTGATGAGTGACGTGCAAGTCCCTAAGCAGACCAAGCAGCCAAACAATTTCACAAGTAGTGTTGGCCATAGACCGGTATTCTACTTCCGCTGAAGAACGTGAGACAACAGATTGCTTCTTGGATTTCTAAGAAATAAGTGAGGAACCAAGGAAAATACAAAAACCAGTGAGGGAACGTTGAGTATCAGGACATGTGCCCTAATTTGCATATGAGAAGGCTTTGAGCTGAAGTGCTGATGATGAAGAGAAGAAAAGGCCTTGACCTGGTGTTTTCTTGACATACTGTAAGATACACATGGCTGCCTAAAGATGAGTAGTACGAGGTGTTGCCAAAAATTGACTCAATTGGTTTACAGAGTAGCTGAGGTCAGGCCGGGTGATGGTGAGGTAGATGAGCTTACCAACCAATCTATGATAGCTTGTAGGGTCAGTGAGTAAGTCACCATCAGACTGAGAAAGTTTCAAATTGGGTTCCATCAGGACAGAGGCTGGCTTGCAAACCAAATACCCAGTATCAGCCAGCAACTCCAAGGCATATTTTCTTTAACAAATAGATATCCCAGAAGCTGATCTGGCAACTTCTAAACCCAAGAAGTACTTGAGAGAACCTAAGTCTTTCATCTTGAAATGTTTACTCAAAGCCACTTTCAAAGAGTCCACAGCTATTTGATTATTGCTGGCAATAATTATATCATCGACGTATACCAAGAGCGCCAAAAAGGAAGCACCACGAGATTGTGTGAATAGAGAGTGATCAGAATTTGATTGTGTAAAGCCTTCTGAAATCAACACCTTGGAGAACTTGTGAAACCATTGCCGAGACGTTTACTTGAGCCCATAAATAGATTTGTGGAGCCTGCAAACAGCATTAGAAGGCAAAGACTCTCCCTTTCCACAAGAGTAGCCAGGAGGAAGAGTCATGTAGACTTCTTCAGTGAGATCACCATAGAGGAATGCATTAGTGACATTAAGCTGATTGAGTGACCAACCAAAAATAGCAGCAAGAGAAAGCAACAACTTAATAGTAACAAGCTTGACCACAGGAGAAAAAGTGTCAAGGTAGTCTACACCTTCCTACTGTGTGTAGCCTTTAGCCACAAGACGGGCTTTATATCGTTCAACCGTGCCATCTGATTGAAACTTGGTCTTGTACACCCATTTACAGTCCACCGGGTGTTTTCCAGGAGGAAGAGAAATAATAGACCAAGTTTTGTTACTTACCAAAGCCTGTAACTCAACATTCATCACATCACGCCATATCGGAGAAGTAACAGCTTGGGAGAAGGTTTTAGGTTCAATGTGGGAGGAAATGGCCAAAACGAATTCCCTAAAATGAGGTGACAACTTGTGGTAACTCTAGAAATTTGAAATTGGGTAAGTGGTCAAAGAAGAAGGAACAACATCATAAGTTGAAGAAGGATGTGTTGCTAAGTAGCAATGATAATCAGACAGGTATGGAGGAGGTTTAGTGACCCGTTGGGGTCAAGAAGGGGAAACAGGGAAAGAAGAAATATAAGGTGTAAAAGGAGTTAATGGAGTAAAAGAAGAGGGTACATCAGAGGAGACTGAAACGGGTGTAGGGAGAACATGATCAGTAAAAAGATCATGAAGAGTAGAGTGTGGTTGAGAGTTTACAAAGGGAAAAATGGACTCATGAAACATCACGTGACGAGAGATGTAGACTTTGTTGCTATCTAAGTCAAGGAGTTTGTACCCTTTATAACCAAAGGGGTAGCCAAGGAACATAGAAGCTCGGGCACGAGGGGAAAACTTGGAACGGTGATGGGGAGAGGTGGAACCATAGCATAGACAGCCAAAAGTGCGAAGATAAGCATATGTTGGTTTTTTATTGTTCAAAAGTTCAAATGGTGTCTTATGAGAGAGTAGAGGGGACAGAGTTCGATTAATCAAGTATACTACAGTCAAGACACAGTATCCCCAATAACCAAAAGGAACACAAGATTGAAAAAGAAGGGTGCGAGCCACATTGAGAATGTGCTGATGCTTTCGTTCAATGACAAAGTTTTGTTCAGGCGTATCCACACAGGAGTGATAAGAAAGAATGCCTTTAGAACGAAAGAAATCAGTGAATGCTAGTTCTGGGGAATTGTCGGATCGTATTGACTTAATCGTGGTGTTATATTGAGTGAAAATAAAGTTGTAAAAAACTGAAAATATGGTAAGAACATCAAGGCCTGTTTGTTTCTGTTTCCATTTTCATTTTTCACGTTTTTCGAAGCAAAAAATTGAAAACGGGTTTTAAAAACGCGTTTGGTGCAAGTTTTTTTAAAACACAAAAACAAAATCGTTTTTGTCGTTTTGTGGAAATCAGAAAACGAAAAAAAACTATTTTCATTTTCTCCATTTTCGTTTTCATTTTCCTTTTCTCTCCCGTTTTCTCTTCAGCCTCCCCCATCTCAGTTTTTTTTCTGCCCTTCTTCAGCCCAGATTCTTCAGCCTTCTTGCCGGCCGAGCTCCTCCGTTCTTCTCACCGGATTCGTTTTCTGCGGTTTCCTTCTCGCCTGACTTACGCCGTTGGGGCTCCTCCGATTTCCTCCGTTCTTTCCGTTCTCGTCTCGCCCTCTTCTCACCGAGGTATGCCCCTAGACAAAAACATTTTCATTTCTGATTTGGTTTCCTTCCTGCCTGAGTTGGTTGAGTTTTTTTAGCTGATTTCGTTGAGTTTTTTTAGCTGATTTGGTTATTTTTTTATGGGTTTTTTTATATGATTTTGACTTGATATACTCAACCAAATCGGTTGATTTCCGTTTGATTTGGTTAGTATTTTGTCTAATTTTTTGATTATCTGAGTTGCTGAATTTTTTTTCCGTGTTTTTTTTCCCTGAGAGCCTCCCATTGGGGCTGAATCAGCCCCTAATAGGGGCTGATAACCTGGGAGGCCCCCGTTGGGGCTGAATCAGCCCTTGGGAGCCTCCCATTGGGGCTGACCTGGGAGGCCTCAATGGGGGACTGATAATCAGCCTCCATCAGCCCCAATAGGGGCTGAATCAGCCCCTGGGAGGCCCTCATTGGGGCTGAATCAGCCCCTGGGGGCCTCCCATTGGGGCTGACCTGGGAGGCCCCAATGGGGGCTGATAATCAACCTCTATCAACCCTAATGGGGGCTGATAATCAGCCCCCATCAGCCCCAATAGGAGCTGATAATCAACCTCCATCAGCCCTAATGAGGGCTGATAATCAGCCCCCATTGGGGCCTCCCAGGTCAGCACCAATGGGAGGCCCCCAGGGGCTGATTCCACCCCAACGGGGGCCTCCCAGGGCTGATTCAGCCCCCATTGGGGTTGATAATCAGCCCTAATGTCAGCCCCCAATGGGGCTGATTATCAGCCCCCATTGGGGACTCCCAGGTCAGCCCCAACGGGGGCCTCCCAGGGGCTGATTCAGCCCCAATGGGAGGCCCCATTGGGGCTGTATCAGCCCCTGTGTGTGTGTGTGTGTGTATACTTTACAAATTGACATTTATTTTAATGATGAAAGTGTTATTTTAGATGTGTGATAAGGATGATATACGAAATGGCCGGCCGCAATTGAGGATTTTTATGTAGAACTGATATATGAAGAGTCAAAGACTGGGATGCAAACATCCACTCTGGACAAGAAAACGTGGATGAAAATTGCTAATGAAATAGCACTTAAGTTTGGTAAGCATTTCACATCAGACCAGCTTAAAGCAAAGTGGAATAGGCTTAGACGTAGCACGAGGGAGTTTAAGGCATTAATTGAAACAATAGGGTTTGGTTGGGATTCTGAGGCTAACACTGTCACAGCTGAAAAAGAAGTATGAGATTCATATGTGGCGGTAAGTTTTGAGCATTAACATCTTATGTTATATGAAAGAGTTGAATTGGTGTTTGGATTGCACATGAGTATTTACTCTTGTTTTCTTTATAATGTCAGAAACATCCTGAGGCTAAGAAATTCAAGAAAGGGGGTTTGCAGAACTTTGCCCACCTTTCACAGATTTTTTTAGGGACTATTGCTACTGGACAGGGGTCAATGAATGCACATACTGCAGTTAATATTTTGAATGCGGCGAAAAGGGCTGCCACACAACCAACGGGACCACAAGAGTTATTGAATTATTATCACTCTTCACTGCGTAATTGCATAGAGATGTGCTTTGGGGTCTTGAAAGCAAGATTTAAAATTCTTAGGCATATGACCAATTATTGGATGCCAAGACAAAATGTTATACCAATAGCTTGTTGTGTGATCCACAATTTAATTAAGATGCAAGCGCGAGATGATCCTCTATTTAGACAATATGAGTTCGATTTGCCCGTAGAAGATATTGAGGGAGAACAAGAAAGGCAATAGGAACAACAACATAATATGGATGCATAAAAAGCAGAAACATCTGAAATGGGTGGTCGGCAACAACGTAATTACATGGTTAATTTTAGGGATCATCTAGCTAATCAAATGTGGGATTCGTACAGGCGACAATAATATAAGCTAATATTGTAATTTCCATATTTTATTAATCATTAGTGTGTTTATTTGTGATTCAATTATTATTTATTTAATATATTAAATACTATTACATGTTTTCAAAAATGAAACCACCAAACGCAGTTTCAGTTTTTTTTAAAACTGAAATCAATATCTACATAAAACTACCAAACGCATTTTCAGAAATAATTCAAAAATGAAAATGAAAACATTTTCATTTCCATTTTCGTACAGAAAACAAAAACGTTTTGGAACCAATTCCAAACGCACCCTCAGATTTGGCACACAAAAGATAAATCCAGGTAGCACGAGTGCAATAATCTACAATAGTAAGAAAAAACTTGTGTCCAGCAATCGTCAAAATGTGAAAAGCCCTCCAAATATCTATATGGATTAGATCAAATGGTTTAGCAGACAAGTTATTATGGGAAACAAAGGGAAGGCGTTTTTGCTTTGCCATGTGACAGATTTGACAATGTGAAGATAAATGTGATAAGGAACTAGCAATTTGCAATTCATTTTGTAAAATTTGAAGTTTTACAGGAGATGGGTGGCCAAGCCTGTAATGCCATACATCATTTTTTGGAAAAAATAGAACATGAAAGAGCAGAATTACAAATAAAAACTCCTAGTTCAAGAAAATAAAGATTGTAATGACGCCTACCCCTCCCAATCATCGAGCCCTAATTCAGCTCCTGAATGAGACACGAAGTGGAAAGAAAATTAACACAACAACGATGGCTTGAAGTAAGAGTGCTGACACTGAGCAGATTGAAAGAGAACATCGGAACAAATAAGACATTGTGCAAAACCAGAGAATCAGACAATTCTATAGTACCAACTCTATTTATAGCAACAGTACTTCCATTGGGCAGAGTTATAGTGGCATACTCGATGATTGTGGAATGAGAGAAAAGTGAGATATTGCAACAAACATGGTGAGTGGCACCGGTGTCTATTATCCAAGCATCTCGAGAAATAAATGGGTGAAAAAAAGAAAGGGCCAAAGGAGGGTTACCATAGATGTGAGATATAGAGGGTCCTGGAGCTATTGAAATCTCATGTGTGTCATGAGCTTGAGTGTAGAGCTGCGAGCTGAGGAAGGAGATAAGCTGCTGGACTTGGTCAGTGGAGAGAGATCCAGATGGAGATGCCATGGTCGCTGTAGCTGTGGGAGAGTACTGATGTCGTTTGAAGGAGTCGACATGTGCCTGTGGTGTGGATTGAAGGGAGCACTGGGCCGAAGCATTCTGGGCCTGTTGAGGTTATGAGACCTTGAGCTTGGGCTTGTAACCTGGTGGGAAACCATGCAACTTATAGCAACAGTCCACCGTATGCCCTGTAATCCCACAGTGTGAGTGGATAGTACGATCTCTCTTCGGCCTTCCCAGAGAGAATGAGGCAGCGGTAGTGGCTGGTGTCGGAAGAATATGTGATGACGAGGGAGCGCTAAATGCTAGAGAGTCACCAGGAGAAGGAGATCCATATCCGATGGTTCGTTATCGTTCTTCTTGTACGACGAGGTTGAACACCTTTGAAACAAAGGGCAGAGGATCAATCATCAAGATCTGACCACGCATCCCAGCATAAGACTCGTTCAAACCCATCAGAAATTGCATCACGTACTCTTGTTGTTGATAATCCATCCAAGCTTTCATACCTCCACAATGACAGATTGGAATTGGCTGGAAATTTTTTAGTTCATGCCAAAGGATCTTCAGCCGAGTATAATAGGTATTGACATCGAGGGATCCTTAAGTAAGACCAGTTAACTGTTGCTTAATCTAAAAAATTCGTGGAGCATTGCTCTGGCAGAACCGATTATGAAGGTTAGACCAAACGGCTTGGGCGTTGTCAAGGTATAGAAGACTGTCTGCAATTTCCTTTGACACGACGTTGAGGATCCAAGAAGTGACCATGCTGTTACAGCGAGACCAAATGTTTAAAGTGGGATCAGTCGTCTGTGGTTGCAGAAAACTGTCATTGATAAAACCAAGCTTATTTTTGGCATTAGGGGCCATGAGCATAGAACAACTCCAGGTATTGTAATTGGGGCCAGTAAGGACATGAGAAACGAGAGCCAAACCGGGGTGGTCTCTACTGTGTAGAAAGAAGGGACTATGAATATTGTCCATGTGAGAAGAAGAATCAGTTGATGGAGAGGTAGTAGTGGAGGAAAAAGTAGGAGTGATTAGTTGGAAACGATTATTTTTGTTGTTATTGTTCTGACCACCACGGGCCATTGCTTAGAAAATATCAGAGGAAGATAGAGTAGCGAAAGGGAAAGTTTTCTGATACCATATTTGTTTACCAATCCTTTAGGAGGTGGGCCAACAATAGTTTTATACTTTAACAAGAACCGCCGATTCTAAATTGGTATGTCGAATTGATGAACGGGCTTATACAGACTGCAGAGGATGTTGCTGTGCTTAAGAAGAAAATTATCGCAAAATGGGAGCTCACCGATGACGTAAAGATTTGCAGTGGGATCAACAAGTCGGTAGAGTTGACAAACATACCGCAGAATTTAAACGATGCCGTTGAGGGTGTCAAGGAATACTACAATGATGTGTGGTGGGTGTCAACGTATAGATTCATGAACAAGTGCTGGCGGACTACGCAGAAGTGGTTCGCTGTTATTGCTGCTCTCTTGGCATTGTTTCTGTTGGCTGTCCAAACCTTTTGCTCGGTCTATGAATGTCCACGTTTTTCCTTCAAGACCAGCAATAGTTATCAGCTTCAGCAGGCCAGTTCGCCGCTACCTTCCTTGAGATCTCATCTCATTTAGCTTTACATATCATATATGCTTCCGCAAATATTATAGATGTTGTGTTACGTCATATGTGTTGTGTTATATACGTTTTGTACTCTTTGTTGTTGTTGTATTTTCTTTTCTTTCTTTTTTTTGGCCTAACCCTAGTGTACTCCTTATTGCAATGTAAACTTCATGATGTTGGATGTTAATAAATTATTACTAGTATAAATATGGCATGTATTGTGCTTATTTGTAGCTCTTGGTCACGACTTATTTGCTATTATATGTGGGGCAAGGCAACCGCCATTGTAATACTAGGGATCCGTTTGATATTATTTTTAAAGGCTGTTTTTAATTTTTTTTTTAAGAAACTATAACATGTTAGGGTGTCTGGCAAAACTTGCTTTTGTCCAACAGTTTTTAAAAATTACTGCCCCACAATAGAATTTGAGAAACGGGTCAGGGGTTGTTTTTTCACAGCAGCTTCTGCTGTCATTGTGCAAGTTTACTAAAATGACCATAATAATAAAATTTAATTTTCAATTAACTCATTTTATTTATTCCAAGAATATATTTTATTTTAAATGTTTATTTAAAAATTAAAAATCTTTAATAAATATCTTATGCTAAATTTTAATAATATATTTTTATGATAATGTTGCAAGTTAGAAAAATAATTTACCTTCAATTATTTGCGTTATTTAATTTCTTTATAGGTATATAATTATCTCCTTGAATAAAACAAATTTATTTTTTAGAGATATTTTAATTTATAAATGAAAATTATATATTGTTTTTTAGTGTTTTGGTGTATAGATATTATGAATATTAACTATGAAAATAGAAATAAAACTAATTATAAGTATGTGCGTTAAATATGACTATTTTAGTCATTATACATCTTCACAGTAATTTTATACATCGTTATTAAATATTTAAATTTTTACTTCTAGTATTCAGAGCTATTTTGAAAAAAAAAAAAAATTTTGCCAAATACCTACAAACTTCTGGTCACAACAACTTCTGACTAACAGTACAATAACAACCGAAAATTTCAACAACATAACAACACTAAACTGGCCTTTAACTCTGAGAAATGTTAATACGGTAACAATTACATTAATTTCAGATATTATTTAGAGAGACCTTTTTTTTTTTTTTGCGATTATTTGTTTTGAAGAGAGGAAATGGCGAAATGCATTAACTTATGAAATACAGGGTCCGTTCACTTCACTGATTCGAGTTTATAATTTGAGTTGAGATGTGATTTTGTGTGAGAGCTTTTTACTGTAGCAAAAAAGTTAGATGTGACTGTTTCTTAGAGCTTTTTACTGTAGCAAAACTCGAATTCTAAACTCGAATCGGTGAAATGAACGAGGCCTTAGTATTTGCATATGTCCATTATATTCCTCGGCAAATGCAAAGCAAACTATTGGTTGAGGCAGATCAGTAGCCTGCAGATATATATTGAACATGCTTTAAGATGGAACATATTAAGACGTTCAATGTAGGTTAATTTAATGGGTTTCTTTATTTCAAACCGAAAAGTTACTTCTCTAACCATTATCATCGATAGTAAAACTCTTTAAACATGATTAAAATAATTATTATAAATATGAGTTAGTTAGATTTCCAATTTTGATATAACTTATAATAAATTTCTGAGAAATGTCACTCGCTATCAATAAATTATTGATGGGCGAAGTAAATAGGTTGCGGAAAACCACGGTAACCTTGGAAATTTTTTTTTTTTTTTTTTTTGAAGAATGGCAACAACTTGACAACTTGATAAACGACGCAATAATAAATATGACCACAATTATGAAATCACATCAGAGAGAGAAAATGACAATATATTATATAACACTGGAAATGACGATAAATTTAGAACAATTCAGTTTTAAGGGACTTTGAGATTATAAATTTAGTTGCATATGAAGCCATGTCAAGTCTGAGACTGAACCACCGATTCTTAATTGGTATGTTGAGTTAATGAATGGGCTTATACGAAAATTCAAAAAAAAAAAATCAAATAAATTTGTGTTCATGAATAAAATACTTTGTCCGAAGTCCACGAAAAAACCACTTCAAGCTGCTATGGAAGGATTAAAAGAGCTTTCATCCAAGGAACACTGAAAAGTATAAATGAGAACTAGTATTATTGTTTCTTAATTAAGTATATATATAAAACCACACCCATATATATATATATATATATATATACATACATATGTGCCTGATAGAATACATACTTTGCGAGCTTATTTAAGCTTGGCCGAGTAAATATCACAGATGCGACAAAGATTTCTGTTTATAACAACTTTTTCAGCTCAAGTTAGAAATAAACTCAAATCATTGAGAAAGGAAAAGTGAGGAATATTGCAGTGAGAATAAAAAGATTCATATTGTGACAAAAAAGAAAAACCATAATAATTCCATTAGGACGTAATGAGCACAGATAGCACTTCTAATTGGTCCTTATGGACTAAGTAACGGCCTTTTGACGAAACCAAATTGTCTTTAATTATAAAACGAAAGGGAAAAGCCATCTTCTACCACCAGGGAAATACACTTCTTAAAAAAAAAAAAGAGGATCATGGTTTAAAAAAATAATTATGAAACAAAATCTAGGACACAAAAGAAAATTAATGTAGTGATAATATTATATGAAAACGTGCATATGACCAAATATTTTTTAGTTCTTTAATTTCCATCAAAAGTATTGTTTAGTACTTAAACGATTCAAAAAAAAAAAAAAAGAATTCCACAAGAGAGTAATTAAAACATGTAGCTCTGCTAGCTAATTAATTGGTCCTTAATCGACTAAGTAATGGCTATTTGACGAAACCAAATTGTCTTTAGTAAAACCCTCTTCTACCACCAGGGTAATGTACACTTCACACTTCTCTAAAGCGTGATTCTTGGAAAAATTAAAGGTCTTCAAGCATATATGTATTGTCGTTATAACATAAAAAAGTGAAAATTGCAATTTATGCAGTACTTTCATTAACCAAAGCTTGATATATAATTTCTTGTAAATCCTCTAAAGAGAAATAGAATCCATCCCTTTTGATGGAGCAAGCAAGACACTCAGTTAAGAACTTTTCGTAAGGAGGGCATATAAGAGATAAAGAGTAAATCTCAGACTTAGTTAGTTCTAGTATAAAAAGAGACCTATAGAGTCAAACTATAGAAACAACATAGCCGAGTTCAAACTGCAAATTCATTCCACTTTTATATAGCCCTCTAAGATATTTAATTAGACTAGTCAAATACATAATTCATAGGGCTTTTTTTTTTTTTTTTTTTTTTTTTTTTGTTAATTGTGAAGTATATAATTGCTAGTTTAGTTGTCCAGCACTCGAATCGTGTTCAACATTTAGAGAATTATCAGGTATTGCAATGGCCGTATCTTTGCTTCTCTTTTATGTTTATTTATTATTCCATCATACATGAGTAAGAGAATTTGATAGAATGGTATTTTCTTTTTTTCCGGTTTTGATGAAGTATCTAATTGCTAGTTTAGATCAAAAGTATTACTCTCCTTATGATCTCTTCTAACATGAGTCCCACTGATATTTCCAACACTTCACTCGTGTTTATATGAATAAAAATCCTGATCCATATACTTTTAAGAGTATTTGTCTCATTTTTTTTAAAAAAAAAAATAGCAGTGCATCTCACACTTAGTAGTTCTAGTTATAAAGGGGAAGCTTAAGAGCCAAAATTCTCACCAAATCCATAAAGTGTAGTCAAATCCATAAAGAGCGCAATTTATCACTAATTGTTTTTCTTTTAAAAAAAAAAGATAAATACCCTCTAAAATATATTGTCAGGATTTCTATTCTTTGTTCTTAATTAATAAATTTTTTAGTCAAATAACTATACTAGTAAAAGAGTATTAATTAAGAATAGTGGATAAAAATTCAGACCCATATACTCTTAAAAGTAAATTCTGTAATTTTTTTATTAAGGAAAAAAAAAAAAAAACAATCTCCTGGTGAAGTGTTTAATTGCTTGTTTAGGTCGACAAAGTTTTACTCTCACCATGAGCTCTACTGATGTGGATCCTGATTATGTTTCTCCAAATCCCGCATCCCAAGAATCACCAGGTAAATATTGAAATGGATAATTTTGCTTCTCTTTTTTGTTCACTATCTGAATAAGAGAAATTTTTACCTTTTTTTTTCTTTTCTTTTATCTGAAGATATTTTTTTATTGCTAGTTCAGTTCAAGGGAGTTCTGGTGGCCCCGCGAGCTCTTCTGATCCTTCAGCATCTCAAGTGCCATCAGCACTGCAGTGTATTTATTTCTCTTTTTTTCTTTTTTTTTTTTTATTCAAATATCTAATTACGTACGAGTTTTGATTGAGAAAAGACGTCACTCTCCTCATGAGCTCTTCTGATCATATAGGTCTCCATTATATGAGTTTCGCATCAGGAGAGTTACTACGCATTTTAAAGGGTACGTATTTTGCTTCTCTTTTATGTTTATATTATCTGAATAACAGAAGTTTGTATCTTTTTGTTTTTTTTTTTTCCTGATGAAGTATCAAATTTCTAGTTTAGATCCAGAGAGTTTACTCTCATATTGAGCTCTACTGACATGAATCCTAATAATATTTCTCCACACTCCAAAGCTTTCCTATGTCACATTCAACATCCAAAAAATTACCCGGTATTGTAATGGATGTCTTGCTTGTCTTTTAAGTTATTATAGAAATAAGAGAATTTTGTTTATTTATTATTGAAAAGTTATCACGTCCATTTTTGTTGATCACTGTGTATATAGATCCAAGTATTTAAGAAAACGCATGCAATTTTCAAATTAAATAATAGTGAGACAAATAAACAAGATTATAACATTTCTTGGAAGTTAGTTAAAATCTGCCAACGATATTACAATTGTTTTCTTAGTTTCAGAGAGAATTTTTTTATCAAAAATTTAGAAAAAAAATAACATTATTATTCAAATTTCAATATTTATTAAAAGTACGATCAATTTCATAAATATCTCTTGAGCTTTATACAATATTTGTACATTCCCTCAAATTTTAAAAATTATTTCCGCTCTCTAAATTAGGGAGTTTCTCTGATAGTCTCAGTAAAAATAGACTGTTAGTAGTCATTTACTTTTCAGCCGTCAGATCTGTATTAAAATCTATCTATTATGTATATTTTTTTAATCTGACATGGTTTTGACCAGATCTAACGGTCAAAAACTGGGACTATCAGTAGGCTGACTACCAGAGAAGGTCCCCCTAAATTATATGCACTATAGTTTAAAATACTACCATAAATTTATAAAACTAACAAAATGATAACGTGACACTATATATAATTTTATAAATGCCACGAATTAATTTATTAATCTTAAATGAATTTTCCTTAAGATGTTATTACTTTTATATAAACTTACTCTCTAATATTTCAAAAGATTACCGGGTAAGGTGACACAAAATTGAAGGGTATTTATAAAATAACATTAGTTTATAAGATGTTTTGACTAACTTTTCATATTTCAAGAAACGAAATAAAACTTTTCATATTCAGAGGGTTTTTGTAAAGTTATTACCCTTTATCACACAACTAAAATACATGCTTATTCAGAAAAAATAAATAAATAAATACATGCTTATTGACGCACCAACACTGTTTGGTAGTAATGATTGGGTAAAGAAAAGAAAAAAAAGGCTCTCTACAGTCCTTAGGACTTGGGAAGAAAAAATACATTTATTTAGTTATTGATAGCATTAAAAAAGATATGATAATCCCATAGAAAAAGAATATGATAACCAGCCTAAGATAATTGAATACTGTATCTTTATATCTTTTTAAATAATTATTATTCGTACGTAAAATAAATAATTTGTTGCATCTTAATTAGTTTTTACACACGTAACACACATGTGAATGTCGTTGTTGTATTGTGACTTTTAACTTTTAAGATTAAGATGTTAATAAATTAAAAATACTAGGTCGCATCTATAACCATATTAGTTATTTCTATTTTTAGTCAAAATAGATAATAATTTAGCATTTTCCCCCACTCAAATTAATAGTCAAATGGTTAGAATATCTCCAACCATGTTAGTCATTTCATAATTTTAGTCAAAATAGCTACTGATTTACTTTTTTTTGTTGTTGTTGTTGTTTTGCTTTTCTCAACTCTAACCATCAACTAAATGATTAGCTACTTTGGAGAATCATTTCACACTAGTTAAATATAGCTAGTAAGAATAGGCTAGCAATTTCATTTTTTCTATTATTTTATTCTTTTAAATAGTAATAAATGTAAAGGTTTGTTTTTAAATTTAATAAAGTTATTTATACTTTAAATTTAATAAATATTAAAACATTCAATGTAAATAGAGAGTATGGTTGAATTGACTAACCTAAAAATTACTAATTAAAATAGCTTTCCAGCTTGTTTTTAACTCAAATTTACTGAGTTTGAGATACTCTTTTTACTCAATAATAAACCAGTGTCTTCTAATCATACTGAAAAATCTATTAATGTTTAACTCTCAGAGAATCAACAAACTATGCAAGACCAGATCAAGGTTGAGAAAAGCAACAAATTTGTCAACACAATCACTGCCATCTTCAAGGGAAAAGACATCGATACTCCTATTCGCATCTTCAAAGTCCCCGACTCTCTAACTTCCGCCAAACCAGAAGCCTATATCCCTCAGCAAATAGGCTTCGGACCCATCCATCACTTCAGGCGTGAGCTACAACAAATGCAGATGTACAAGGTTGTGGAGGCAAGAAGGATTCACAACGGATTCCAAAGCGACCTCAAGTTCGGCGAAGTCGCTGAAGTTCTTAAGACGATAGTATCGCCATCCGTCCGCGCCTCTTATAACATCTACTTACAAATGGAGGATGATGATTTGGCATCTGTTATGGCCCTTGACGGTTTGTTTCTGTTTAATTTGCTCTGCTGTACCGGAATCAATAAGGAAGCTTTGGCCAAATCAAGCTCTTTGTGCCACTTGGTTAACTCTGCCGGGAAAAGATTGGCTCAGAAAACGATCATTCAAGAAGCCATGATGCTTGAGAACCAAATTCCTATTGACGTTATGAAAGTCATCTTGCTCATAGAATGCTGGAATAACTCAAAGTCACAAAAGATGAAGATTGGAAGTGTTATTTTTCCAAAAATCTTGTTGGGATTCTGTGAGTTCTCCTCACCTTTGAAAACAGTGGAGAATTATCCTCTTTACGAGGCCTTAAAGCGTGCCCATTTGTTGGATCTTCTCTACCACTTAGTCACACTCAAGCAATCACCTGAAACTAATCCTGAGGAAGAAGAGAAGGAGAAGAAGTCGTTAGAAGACCTATCTACTGAAATAGCAAGTCACGAAATCATAAGTCGAAAAACTCGAATTGAAGAAGTAGTTAAGCGTCGTATCCGCATTCCAGATGGGGTTGAAGCTGCAGCTGGTGAAATACTGAAGACGCTAGCACCACCAGGATTCCAAAAACCCATTGAGCTAGTGCTAGGTTTACTTGAACTACCATTGTCACAGACCAAGTCAGACATAGTCTCTTCACTAAAAGAAGAAGAGCCTCCGAAGGAAGTCTTCATCCCCAGAGCGTCGGAACTCGATAAAGCTGGAGTGAAATTCCGCGTTGCTGATCACATCACAGGCATCAATTTCGACCGAAACAAACTCTCCTTTTACCTTCCGATCATCAGAATAAATGCCGACTTTGAGGTTATAATTAGAAACTTGGTTGTATATGAGGCCATGATCAAGTCTGAGACAGAACCCCTGATCCTTAATTGGTATGTCGAATTGATGAATGGGCTTATACAGACTGCAGAGGACGTTGCCGTGCTTAATAAGCAGCAAATTATCTCAAAATCAGAGTCCACTCTTGACGAACAAGTCGCGAAGATTTTCAGCGGGATGAACAAGTCGGTAGAGTTGACAAACATACCGCAGAATTTAAACGATGCCGTTGGAGGCGTCAAGGAATACTACAATAATCTGTGTTGGGTTTCGACGTCTGAATTCATGAACAAGTCTTGGCGGACTACAAAGAAGTGGTTCGTTGTTCTTGCCCCTCTCTTGGCATTATTTCTGTTGGCTGTCCAATCCTTTTGCTCGGTCTATGGTTGTCGTCGTTCTTCCGTCAAGGTCAGCCATACTTCTCATGCTCAGCAGGTCGGTTCGCCACTGCCTTCCTTGAGGTCTCATCTCATTTAGCTTTATATTATATGTCAAGTGTGTTTTTGTTTGTTTGTTTGGTTTTTTTTTTTTTTTTTTTTTTTTTTTTTTTTTTTTGTTTTTTTCTTTTAGTGTGTTTTCGATTTTGTACTCCTTGTTGCGAAGTAAACTTTTATGGATGTTGGATTTTAATTAAGAATAATTACTAGAATAAAGACGATATGTATTTTGCTTATTTGGAAGCCCTTAGTCATGACTTATTGGCCACTGTATTGTGTGTGTGTTATGTTGCTCGGCAAGGCAATCACCATTCCAATACTAATCATGAGTAATTTTTTAATGCAGAACAATTTTATTATTTTCGGATATTATTTAGATAGACCATTTTCTGCGGTTATTTTTAAAAGATAGGAAGTGCATTAACTTATGAAAGACTTTAGTATGTGCAGATCATGGACATTATATTCCTTGTTAAGTAGGAATATTTTAAGGCGTTCAACTATAGAGTAATTGAATGGAATTCTATATTTCAAATCAAAAATTTAAGAGACACAGTAGAACAAGATTCTTAATAGTTAGTATTGATATGAATTTTCAAGCAAAAGGCAAGCATCTTAGACAGTGAGAGCTAGCAAGTCCTTCCATTTCGTGAGGAATTCGGAAAGGAAACTAATAACAACATTTAAAAACAGCAATAATGTGAAAATTCCATGAAAATGAACGAAATAACATCATCGTCAAAATGACAAGAATGGCCCAAAACAGACAAGAATAACATGACATTTGAAAAAGACAGTAGTCTGACAGTTGGAAAAAAAAACATTCACCGTTTATTTCATTTATTTGAGTTTTATTACAGTAAAAATCTCTCAAAAACAGTTATATCTAACTTTTTTACTACAGTTTAAAGCTCTCACATAAAAAATTACATCTTAACTTGAATTAAAAACTAAAATCAGCGAACTAAACGGATCTTTGAATGTAATGAGTTATGATCGAAATCGACACTATTATAAAAATGCCAATAATTAAAAACAACAAAGGTAGCATGAAAAAAGTTTGGAAGATGCAAAGTAGCTCGGATCGAAGGTATGATATGATATGACAGGAATTTTAAGACGACAAAAGACGTGTTATTATAGGCCAACGAAACATGAAAATCCAAGTTACCAGCCACATAACTGAAAAAACATATTAATAGAAAAATAATTGAAATAGCATTATAGACAAACCGACAATAGCTAAAAGAGGATCAGAAAACCACAGAGTCGTTGAAAATCAAACTAATCTTGGAAAAATACAAAACTGTAAGTATTAATTACAAAAAAATTTCTTGAATTATGACCCCTTATAACATTTTATCATCGATTTTTAAAACATAACGTCCATTCTCTCAAAATATGAAATCTTAACAAAAAAATCTCCCTCTGTTAGGGTTTCCAACATAACTAACACTTGTCACACATATATAAATTGTTCTTAAAGAGTTTGGTGCAAGATTACTCTTCTACACATAACTTTTAAATAATTTATGTTTTTTAAAAACATGTTTTAATTTTTATTTAGTGTGATAATAAATAAAACAAAACAATAAAACCAAAATTTTTAATCTTATTCTTCTTATTATTTAATTAATTAACTCTTTCGGCAAAAAAAAATAAATAAAACTAATAACAATGTTTTTATATATAGTATATTCTATACGTACATTATAATTAAAAAAATACTTTTCTTAAGATGCAAAACAATGTTTTTATGATTTAATACTTTTTTAATTAATTAAACAATTAGTTTTCTGTTGAAAACTTTAACAAAAGGAGATCTTTTATTAGCAATTCATAGTTTGAGAAGGACAGAGGTTACATTTTGAATATTATGGGTCAAAATGTTAGACGATTCATAAGAGAAAATTTTTGTAATTAATCCAAATTCTAATAATAAACCTCAGTAACCAGGGAAAATAATGTACTTTCTCTAAAAGAGAAAGCAATATGTTTTGAAATAACTGATTTAATTAACCCAAAAAAAAAAAGACAATAACGTCCATGAAACGATATTATATTTGAAAAACGACAAATATGTGAATTACCAATAACTTTTTTTCTTTTTCCCTCTTGAGAGGAACAAAACCTGAAGTACGACAACAACCAGAAGAAGCTTGACAGACAACATAACCATTAGATATGACAATAAGATGACTAAAAACGAAAATGAATGGGAAAAACGGCGCAACCTTGAAAAATGATAATAATTGCGATAACGGGGGAAAACAAAAAGGAAAAAAATCCGAGCACAAGATTAATGGACGACAACAACTTGGAATTATTTCGTGAAGAAAAAAATTACGGGCCTATCCATGGCAAATGCATTCAACACTTTGTCAGATCATGATTCAATAACCTTGTAAATCCGGCCAAAAAAACAAAACAAAACACACACATATGAAATGAAAATAAACACCTAGTCTTGGTCCAGAAAAAAACTCGGCCAGATAATTTCTGTATATTGGAATCAGGTTATGTAAAATCTGAAAATATGAGTATTTTTGTACTTCTAAAAACTAGAGGGATCTAATTTTGGATAAAAAAAGGAGAGAATTCTATGACACGTCTATTTTGTATGTGTATATATATTCACTGGTTAATACAATATTACAAGGACCCTGTAATGTAGATTAATGACGCAGAAAGAATGACATGAGTCTTTTTTTTTTTTTCCCAGTTTGTTGGAGGGAAAGTGTTCATTGTCCATAAAATTAAAAGAATTTTTATCACCATACACCTAAACTTCTTGTGATTTGGCGCTTTTGTGCCGAAAATTCTTTCCTACACAATTTTCCTTGAATTTACAAATAGTAACAATTAATTAATCACTAAGCACTCGTTCATTTCACCGATTCGAGTTTTTAATTCTAAATTTTTACAATAAAAAGCTTTAAAAAAAACTCTTAAAAAATGTTACATATCGAGACCTAAAATTTCAACCGCAAGCGAGGTTAATCACTAATAAACTTCTAAAAAAATAGAAGGAAAAGTTAAAAAAAAATGAAATTATCAAATAAGGAAAAACAAAGAAGAAGATAAGGGGCGGCATACAGAGGAATGAGTGGAAGGGAAGCCACCAGCCTGGAAAGCGACCTTAAAATCAAAGTCTTTCCCATAAAGAATTACATTACTCAATGGCTTACTTAACTGCCCTATTGCCCCAGAAACACCCGCAGCTACCAAAACCTGACACACACACACACATATATATATATATACATATATATACATATATATATATACATATATATAACATATGTATGTATTACACAAAAACAAAAACAAAAAACATCAATTTTTGCAACAAATTAAGCAAAATATAACATTATATTATGTTATATATTATATATAAAAATAGAAGAACAGACGTTGACCTTGTTATGGAGAAGTTGGACTAGTATTTCGTCAGATAACTGAGCTCTACTCATGCCTATTCTTCTTCTTCTGCTGCTGCTGAAAATTGGTACTTGTTTTCTAGAATTTACGAAACCCCAGCAACAATAATTCTGAGATGCGCTGGGTAATGAAATACTGGTGCTCTGTCCATGATTTAGCTGTAGCCACATCATGATGATCTCTCTCTCTCTCTCCCTCTCTCCCTCTCTCCCTCTCTCTCGCTAAGGTCTTATATGTTATGAGACAGTGATACGACATCTGGAGGATGCCAAATGGGGAGGTTTGTTGCCCCCAACCAAAAAACGACACTGCGTATAGAAACCACAAGAGGACAAACCTTCCGGGGAAATTGATAATTAACTAATAACCCGTGTGACCCGAGCTGAAAGCCTAGGATTTTTTTTTTAAATTCAGATTCAAATAGTCCCAATCCGCACTGTGCGGGTTGGGGCGGGACGGGCATTTTGAACCCATTTTGCCCTGACTTGATCCGATTTAGGTGTGTAATTCTAAATTTTTAAATTTATTTTGTTGGACTATCTCTATATAGACTGTTTATTTGACGTATTGTTAATTTTATTTCTGGACTTTATTGATTGTTAAGAAGTATGTTTAATGTTATGTTAATGTTTATGGACTGTTTATGGATTTTATGCTTTTGGACTGTTAAAAGAGGTATGAAATCATAGATTAAAATTGATTTTCACCAACTCGAGTAACCTGAGCCTATCCGAGATCACCCGACAAGTTATGGATTTATGGGCTTAAGAGAGTGTTGCAGCCCAAAATTTTCTCAACCCACACTGAACGGGTCGGCTCAATCCGTCCCTATCCGGTCGAATTACACCCATAATTATCACAAAAACAATTTCCTAGTAACCAATGACTCCGTGAAATTGTACCCAAATTGTTTTTGTACTTGATCAGTGAATTACATTTTTGTTTCTTTCTAAAGTAATTAAATAATAAAAAAGGAGAAGATTTAACATGATTTAGAGCCGTCAAAACGGGCCAAGCTTGATGGGCCGACACACACACGGCAACATAGTGTAGCATGATTATTTAATGGACTTAGCCTATCTTCTTTATTAAATGGATTGGGCTTGACATAAATTTTGAGCATGAAATACCATTAGTATGTTAAAAATACGATAGGGAGTCTAGGGCTGGCAATTCGTGTTCGCGGGCCGTGTTCGGGCCGATACGATTACAGTGAACACGAACACGACACGATTAATAAACGTGTCAAAAACCCAAATACGAACACGAACCGTTAATAACACGATTAACACGACACGACACGCGAACACGATTATTAAACGTGCCGTGACGGGCCAACATGAATAAAACACGTTTATGACCCGTCAAACTAATATTGTTCAAGAAATTTTAAATCAGTACAATTGGTAGGGAAAAAAACAATGAAATTGAAAATAATGTTTCATGAAAATATATTTAAATGTAAGTTCCATTATCATCACCTTCTTTTACATCTCTCAAGTGATACTAATACAAAATGTATGCAAGTAATACAAATCTTAACCCCAAGTCCAACTACAAGAATTCAGTTGCATTACTACTTGCACAAACTGTTCCATT